GGTCTAGGAAAGACCTGCCGGCTAGCAGACAGATGAAGGCTCAGTTGGGGAATAATTAGGCAGCCTCCCTTTCTATCAAAAGAAAAAAACACCCCCACCCCCCCAAAAAAAGTAGCCAACTGCATCAAGGCATTGCAGGTATGAAAAAAGGGGGGGAGTGTACCCATATAGCCAAAGTACGGCAGGTAGTGCGTGGCCACCAGGAGACATTATAATCACCCTTGTGGCCTGGCACATGCTACACAGTCCACACCTGGAAAAGTCTGCCTACCACAGTACACTAGGATTTGCTGTTATAAAGTCATGCCACTGAAAACCAGACTTCACACTCAGTTTCACCAACATAACCATTCCTATACTGCAGCCGTTTCACCAACCAACAGAAGCTACCATAATTTGCCTATTAAGGTCAACACTGTTCACAAAACTTGCCAACCAGCCATAATTCTATCCTCAATCTGCAATCATCCCATTGGATATTTATAAAGGACACTGCAGTATAAGAGTATTGCATGGGCATGAGGGGCTGAAAATTCGGAAAGCCAAAGTGCAACTGGAGTTGCAGCTAGCAAGTGATGTGAAGGGTAACAAGAAGGGTTTCTACAAGTATGTTAGCAATAAGAGAAATATCAGGGGAAAATGTGCATTCCTTACTGAATGGGAGAGGCAACCAAGTGACAGATGATGTTGCCAGAAGGTCAAGAAAAGTGATTATCCCCTCTATTCAGCAGTGGTGAGGCCACATCTGGAGTGCCATGTCCAGTTTTGTCCCCCCACCCCTCACTACAAAAAGGATGTAAACAAATTGGAGAGCCCAGCAGAGGGCAACAAAAATGGTGAGGAGGGTAGGGGACATGATTTATGATGAGGCTAAGGGAGCTGGGCTTATTTAGTCTAGAGAAGAAGAGAAGAAGAGGGGACTTAATAGCAGCCTTCAACTACCTGAAGGCGGGTTCAAAAGAGGATGGAGCTACACCAGAGGTAGGCAAAATATGGCCCACAGGCTGGATCCAGCCTACAGGGCCCCTGAAAAAATTTAGAAAATGAATATTCATCTGTCCTTGGTTCCTGTCAAAATGACAGGAGCCAGGGGCATTAGGACCCAGGGGAAGCCCCGGCAGGCTCCTGCAATAGCAGGGCCCGCCCAGCCTCACCCCTTCAGCTGGCAGCCCCAGTACGGACTTCTGGCCTGGGACCATGTGGCTGCACCAGTGCCAGAAACTCAGAACTCAGGTAAAGGGGGGGGAGGGGGAAGGAGGGGAGGACACTGGGCAGGGAAGGAGCCTGGGGAAAAGAGGACCCTCCCCCACCCCATGGCTGGTGCTCTCTGCTGCAGCCACTCGCAGCCCATGCAAGGCTGTCCTGAGCAGGCACAGGCAGCCCCACATGGGCTGCGAGCAGCTGCGGCACAGGGTGCTGGCCACAGGGTGGGCAAGGGGCCACTTTTCCCCACGCTCAGCACCAGCTTGTAACCCGCCCCCGCCCCCAGCCTGATGGAGCTAAACTGTTCTCAGTGGTGGCAGATGACAGAACAAGGAACAAAGATCTCACATTTGAGCAAGTGAAGTTTAGGTTAGATATTAGGAAACATTTTCTCACTAGAAAGATAGTAAAGCACTGGAACAGGTTACCGAGAGACATTGTGGAATCTCCATCCTTGGAGGTTTTAAAGACCTGCCTAGACAAAGCCCTGACTGAGATGATACAGGTAGGGCTGGTCCTGCTTTGAGCAGGCAGTTGGACTAGATGGCCTACTGAGGTCCCTTCCAACCCTAATTTTCTATGATTGTGTGTGTATGGGGCGGGACATGAATACTAATAAGACAACTGACTGACAAAAGTTGAACTGGGCCAGCAGTGTGGGGGTGCAGTCAAGAAGGCCAACCACACCTTCTCATGCATCCATAAATGCATCTCAAGCAGGTCCAAGGAGGTGACACTGGTCAGGCCGCAGCTGGAGTACTGCGTCCAGTTCTGGGCGCCGCACTTCAGGAGGGATGTGGACAACATGGAGAGGGCCCAGAGGAGGGCCACTCGCATGATCAGGGGGCAGCAGGGCAGGCCCTACAAGGAGAGGCTAAGGGACCTGAACCTGTTCAGCTTCCACAAGAGAAGGCTGAGGGGGGATCTAGTGGCCTGTTACAAACTAGTCAGAGG